TGGGGGAAAGAGGAGGTGGGCAGAGTATGCAACAGTAACATACTACGACATGTTTGGAAGCAGGGTGGCATCCGCTTCCTAAACAACGTGCCTCCGGAAACTCTATGAACTCTGAATAATGTCGGCAGTTGTAGAGGGGCTTCAGGCCATTTGTTCCTAGGGTCGCTATGAGTCGTGCTCGACTTGAAGGCAATCAACAACGACAACAACAACATCCCTTCCACAGGATGGATTGATTCTGTGGCTGCAGCACTTAAGCGCAGTGTCAGGATTATGAGGCTGGCACGGGGTTAGGCAGTCTCATTCTGCTGTACAGATGATCACAGAGTCTGATGGGACCTGGCCTTAACAAGAAATCTAGGGGTAGGCAGGACACTGCCCCCAGAATACTGTCCTTACTCTTGAAAGGGATTTGTATGGAACCCTAGGAGGGGACCTGGGTAGGAATGAAAGAAAGCTCTTCTCAGACAACCTTAACCTTGGTCCCAGCTACCAGACTCCACTGACTCTCATGCTTAAAGATGCAATCATTTTTATCAATCCTATAATTATCTTATGAACAGCACAGTCATATTGCACTGTCAGTGCTGGAGTATTTATACAAACATTTCATACAAACTCTATATTCTCTAGCCCTGTCTTGGCATGTCTCCAGGCTTTAACACTCTAAGAGCCCTCGCTGAGGGCTCCCATGCACGCTGCCCAGGCCTCTCTCCACCTCCCAGTCCTGGCGACAAATAATTAGCAGTGATCAGCACCCTGGTTTATAAGCACTGGAAAGTGGCCATTAGTGGATGAGTTTGAAGAGTACTTCCCCCACCCCTCACTGGGGTGTGGAAGGGGTAAGAAGATAGGACACAGCATCCTTTGATCATATGTGGTCCTTCCTTCATTTAATTTTTAAAGGGCTCAAGTTCTGGAGTCTTCAGTGGCCCTCAAAGATCAGGGACAGAGATTCAGTCCTGGGAGAGGCTTGGAGAAACCTTTGATACCAGGTCCATTGAGAGGTGGACAAAGACCGAGAAGCATCTATAGGCAGAGCTACACACACATGCGCACACTTTTTTTAGGGGAAGAATGTTGATGAAATGATTTTCTTCTTACATCTCTATTGTTTTGCTGATTCTTAAAGCAAGACTTTGTTCTTGTCAAATTCTCAAACACTACAGAAATTAACTTAAAAAATGAAAGTCTGACCTCATCTACTTGGTAGAGCATCTAGTCAGTCCTGCTCAGTATTTGCACTGAAATATTTTTCAAGATACAAACTGTGCTAATAATAATAATAATAATAAAGATGTGCACATGCCATTAACAGTGTTCTGCAACCGTGTTCTTTTCTCTGCTACATCTTCACCATTTTTTTCCATGCCGGTGTAAAAGCGCCGTCATTTTTTGGTTCCGTGTGTTTCATGAAGGAATCACTACAGTGCCCTCGTGACGGGCATTCCCAGTACCCAGATTGCCAGTCTTCACAAGCCCTGTAACAGATCCCCTCATTCGTAATGCGTTTCCTACAGTCTGTCAATTCATTCTCAGAAACCAGCACGATTCTCTGGCTGACCTTGTACCCCTTGTGAATGTTTGCTGGGCTCTGAGTGAGAACCCACTGCCCTCTCTGCCCTCTTGCTTGAGTCCCCAGGGGCAGCAAAGGTTAAGCTATTTCTCTTTTGAATCATAACCTGCCCATGGGTGGGTCTCCAGTCGGTGGCCCTAAAGAACAGGAGCCTTGTGGCAGCCTGCCAGGACCCTGGATCTTGCAGAGCAAGATATTCTAACAAAGACAAGAAATAGCAGATCAACAGACTCAGACATAGAAGGACGGGTGAGGGTCATTCAGGAGTCCTGGCGATGTAGCAGTTGTTAAGTGCTTGACTGCCAAGTGGAAGATTGGTGGTTCGAACCTACCAGCTCCTTTGTGAGAAAAAGACGTGTGGGTACACTGCTGTAAAGATCATAGCCCTGGGGGCAGTCCTACTGTGAGTTAGAACTGATGTGACAGCAACAGGTCATAGCATGGAGGTGACCCGTGGAAGGGTCTCAGTCCCCAGCCTGGTCACAAGGCAGGCTGCCACCTTCTCTACTTTTGCCCTTGAGAACCACATACTCATTCCCAGGGGTTTAAGTGTGGCTGATCCCTGAGCCAGAACCCATGGAATGGTCTAGGGGCTGGGAGATAGGCTACCTGGACCCCTTCCTGTTTTCTTGGTTTTTGTGAGAAAATTTTTGCCCCTTTGAGTCCCAGTTCCCCACTCTCAAAATGCTGCTCCTTCCTTCCTTTGCCAAAAGCCTGATGACCATTTTGTAAACCATCTATCGCTTTGGGTAGAGGTGCTAGGTTATAACCTGGCCGCCTGTGTGGAGTGGCTTCAGGCTGTACCTCCTTCCCTTCCAGGTCCCACTCCTTCTTGGAGAGCAGCTTTCTCCTAAGTCTCCTTTGTTTACTACGGTGTGTGGGAATCCAGGGGGTGCTCCCTCTCACAGGTGTCTGTGGTTAATTGGGCTCCTGTGAACTTACCCCAGGGATACAGCAAGCAGCCAGGGTAAGTTCTCCTCGAGGTTTTTAAGGTCTCTGAGTGACTGGGGCACTCTTCGAAATGGGGAGAAGGCCAAGTAGAGAACAGAAGCCAGCGTTAGTAACCAAGGGGCCCAGAGTGAGGCCTGAGTGCAGGTGGTGAGGTGGGCAGCCAGTCAGTGTGTGTTCAGGGCAGAGGGTGAGGAGGGCAGGAGGAAGCGCAGAGAGAAGGTGCAGAGCAAAGTGGCTGAAAGCCCTGTTTTGGATCCTTTCCTGAAACTCCCATTTGCCTGTGTCGCATTTACCTAAATCGCCTTTCTCTTCTACCTTCTTGGCATGTTCACCCTCTTTCTCTGCTAGTCCCCAGTCCTTTCTTGGGGCTTCCCTAAGCCTGTGACCCAGAGAAGGCAATGGGAAGCCCACTTGGCAAGGAGGCCGGGAGGGAGAAAGGTGGCCTCCTGTAAGGTTCTACAGCCTTGGGGACCTGATGGAGGGCCACTGTGCATGGGGATCAGCTTGACGGCAGTGGGCACCATGGCTTTTGGAGTCTTTGAAGACTCTTGGGCTTCTTCTTCTAGCTAGCTTAGCCATGGCCTAGCCCACCCAAAGACCCCTCTCTGGGATGAAAGGAACAGCTGGTCACCTCCAGGGCTGGGCTGAGCAGCATGACATAGAATGGAAGGAAGATGCGGACCTGTCATCATAGAAAAACCTTCCTATCCAACCAGATGTCCAGAATCCAGGGTGTGGGAATGAGCCCTGGCTGGGGACCAGCCCCACCACTAACCTGCCTCATGACCTTGGACATGTCACTTCCCAATCTGTTCCCTGGTCTGTACAAGAGAATCATACTCTGCCAAGCAGCCTCACCAAGTGAGATTCAAGAAGGTGCGATTATGTTGTGAAAAGTATGGTGTCTCAGGGAAATGTGGGGATTTGCATGATTCTAGGCCTTCCCTCTGAGAGCAGAGGAAAAGTCAAATTGTGGAGTCCTCTGTTTCTAGCTGACTCATCTGGCAGGAGGCCGGTGGTATAACCTTGGCCACTTGGTAACTTTCCTTGATCATGCGAGTCTCTGGTGCAGATAAATGGGCTGGAGCATCCTTAGGGAATATGCATGTCATCTGGAATACTAAAAGGCGGCAAAGCCCATTATAACCTTTCCATATGAGCAGGGGATTGGAAATACAACCCCTCCTTGGCCCCATTTTACAGATTGAACCGCATCCCCAGCCTCCCTCAGTAACTCACAGGCAGTTTGGGGTCTTCAGCCAGGTGCCAAGCCACCCAGTGCTCCACCCCTTCAGTGAACTCCAAGGGATGAGGCTTCAGTGAAGAGTGTGATTAACCCATACTTTCCCATGGCGCTGTGAGCAGGAACCTTCCCTAAGCCACCTCCACACCTCGCTCAGGTGAGGAAGGGTGGCAGGAGAGATAGAGGCGCCACCACCTCGTTTCCTCTCTTCTTCTCACCCCCCCCTCAGCCTCAGGATGCAAACTCCAGACCACCCCCCTGCCTGAAATCGCATCTGTAATGCCCAGATGCTCACCCCTAGCTGAGAGCTCTCAGAAGAAAAGCAGAGCACTTATTTTCTGGGAGTGATGGAAAAAGTCTCAAGTGATATGAGAAGCCTCCAGAGGTGGGGGCTGGGGTGGGGTGGGGGGAGTGTCTCCTGTGCCCTAAATTGAAGAGTGATAAGACTCTTGTAATCTCAGTGCTGGGAGACTCTGCTCAAAGGCTCTGGGATCCAGCTTCTGGTTTTGTGGGTGAGCCAGTCAGCCCCACCCAGACCAGAGAGGTGGTCACTGATGACTCTAAGATCTCGCCTCCCGCTACCCAGAGAGGGGGCTACCCAAACCAAGATCATCACTATGGGGTGGAACCCTACCTAGCCCTGCCCCCACCATACCCCCTGCTGCTATGCTGCGAAACCGAAAAGGTTCATGAGGGTTGGAAAATGGGCAAAGAGGCCGAGGGTGCCCTTCCTCACTCTGCTTGAAGCCGTCCAGGTTGGGGAGGCCAAGGCTTTCCTTCTCAGAGCCCCCAGCGTGGCGCCGGCTTTAGGAGGGCAATGGCTAACCTGCTAGTTAACAAAAAGGGGACGCGAGGGAAGGGTTGAGTGGGTTTCAGAAACCTGTGGCTGCAACAGCTGAAGCCAAGAAGTTGCCTTGAAGAGAAAGGTGGGGAGATGGCAGGGGCGTCACCATCTCGGGAACCCTCCCAGCCCAGCCCTCTTCTCCGGGAAAGCTCCAACTTGCCCGGGTGCGGCTGCAAGAATGGGTGGCCTCTCCAGTAGCCTTAATCAGAGGAGAAAAGTTGCTGACAGTTGTCGCCTGAGCATCTGTGTCTCCCAAACGCGAGACCCCGACTCGGGCTGACTCTGCGTGCAGCAGAGAGGTACCCCAGCCTGCACTCAGCACCACCCCTGCCTCCACCGCAGGTCCCTGGGGACTGACGGGCACAGAAGTTGGGCGCTTTACTGACCGTCTGCGTCAAAATGCTTCCAGATTTCCAGGAACTGGGATGCCGTCAGCTCAGCTAGGTGCAGGTAAGGGGGCTGCTGAGGCGGACCAGCCATGGCAAGCGGCGTGGGGACCCGGGGCCGGCTCACGGCGCACAGCGCTCCTGCTCGGCGGCGGCTCTGCGCTCTGTTCGCGTCCTGGTCTTGCGCGCCACGCTGCCCTTATATACAGTCTGGAGGCTGTGCCTGCCGCCGGCCTCCAGCAGGGGGCGCGCGGGCTCAGAGAATGGGGCTTGGTCAAGGCGGGGCAGGGGCAGCCACGGGGGTGGACCCGGGTCGGTGGGGGGCCATGCACAGCTGCTTGGAGACTGTGCACGGCCCGCCCGGAAAACCCAGAGCTGATGGGGGGGCGGGGGAATGGGGAAAGAGACCACCCTTCCTCTCCTTTCTCCTACCACATGTTGTTGTTGTGTTTTAGGTGCCATGGTGTGGAGTACTTCTCATAGCCACCTTATGTATGACAGATCTGAACCCTGGCCTGTCCCGTGCCATCCTCATCACCTCTGACATACTGAGCCCATTGCAGTGGTCACTGTGTTAGTCCACCTGGCTGAGGGTCTCTTTCGCTGACCCCTCTACCTTTCCAAGCATGATGCTCCTCTCTAAAGAATAGACCATGCCCAAAATATGTGAGGCAAAGCTTTGTCATCTTTGCCTCCAGGAAGCTCTCTGGCTGTGCCTTCTCCAAGACATATTTGTTTTGTTTTGTGGTTTTTCTCTCAGATCATGTGATATTCAGTACTCTTCTCAAACACCACAGCTCAAAGACATAGATTGTTCCGTCATCCTTACTTAGTATCCAGCTCTCAGATACATAGCAAGTGATTGAAAAGACCATGGCCTGAAGCAGGTGCACCTTAATTCTCAAGCTGACATCATTGCTCCTCAGTAATTTGGTGAGGTCCCTGACTACATGTGGAGTACCTAAAATCAAACCTACTGCTGTGGAGAAAATTCTGACCCCTAAAAGCCCTTACAGGACCAAATAGAAGAGCCTCGCGAGGTTCTAAGCCCTGTAATTGTCATGGAAGCAAACAGCCACGTCTTTCTACTACATCTTTCACAGATGAAACTGTTGGTGGGTCCCAACCTTTTGTTTGGCAGCCAAGTCCTAAACTCTGCACTGCCAGGGCTCCTGGTCTTGAGAACAGCTACTGCCTATATGTTGTTTTATATTGCAGAAGCAATCATAGCACCAGCGACGATGAGGGTGACAGAGGTAAGATAACATGACAAGCATTTTGCAGCCTTGCTCACTGGGCCCCCGGCCTCCTCTAATCTGACCCTTCCATGGCAGGAAGAAGAGAGAGCACTCTTGTGACCTGAGTCTTCAGATACCTAAATGACTTAAAGTATCATGGGAAATAAGTGGCAGACTGGATTTGAGCCCAGCTATCTTTCCATGGGCCACAGGAACCTTAATAGGGTCTTGGGGAGAAACTGAACCTTCTCAAGATTTTGCTGAAGAATGTCTGGAACCATGACTGCCATGGAGGGGCATCTGGATGGTGGTGGCCAAGAAGCTTGTATTTCTCCTGTGTTGTTCTGCTGCTTTCCCCTGGGATCTGCACCAGCACCTGCTCTGAGGTCTTTGCAAGGACATTTGTTCAGGGATGGCAGAAGGATTCCTCCCCTTAACCCCCATCTGAGGGCCTCGCAGTAATTCACCCAGCCCCGTGGGCAGAGAATGTCCAGTTCTGAGCAAAGGATGTTCTGAACTAGTTTGGAAGCAAAGAGAAGCAGCCACCATGAGGAGCACCTCCTGAGCTCCAGCCCTGCAGAGCAGGACTCCCCAGGCGGCACTGGGATGCCTGCCCAGCTCCTGGCCCGGGCCCTGGGGCGTGTCCTGGCCTTGTGGATGCCTGACCCGGAGTGGCAGCTTCATCCCTCCAGCTCGTCTCAGCAGATGGTGGAGAAAGGAATTGATGCTCATTAACATGTGCTAATGAGTGTTAGCTGAACTGCCTTCCAAAGGGAGAGCGAAAGGGAAGGAGGTAAGTGAGAAACAAAAAGAGGTCGCCAGAGAACTCCAGGAGGAGGGAGGCAGGTTGTCCCTCAGGTGGGGATGGGGGCCCACCGAGGCCCAGAGAGTGTGAAAGGGGAATCTCCAGTGGTGGTTCAGGGAGGGATTGCCTGGTTTTAGAGGGGTCTTGCTTTCAGTATAGGAAGTACAGTGCTGCTGGGAGGGGAAATTTCTTCGTGCTGAGAAGTAAACCAGAGCACCCAGGCTCTCTTCCCAGATTTGGTGGCACCACGTTGGTTTTGTTCGTCCTTGGCAGGTTGGGTCCTGTTCTTGCTAAGTTTACTTAGAACAGAATGAAAGAGTCTTGTGGCATCCTCACGACCAAGGGTGTGAGGTGTCCATCACTGCAGCTGTGCACTGCCTCCTAACTGATGTTCAGGCAGGGTTCTGCTGTGATCCATACGGTTTCTGTTGGCTCGTTTTCACAGGTAGATTGCCAGGCCTTTCCTCCTGGTTTGGAACTTGTCCCCCACCACTGATCCTGCTGATATTTTCAATGTCTTTGGCATTGATTTTCATTTCTTAGCACCACACAAACCTCCCCAGCACACAAACTGACCAATGGGTGGCAGTCTGTTTCCAGAGCGGTCGAATGCTTCTGAGGATTAGAATCACAGAATGAACTGTGTGACCTTAGGAAATTGTGTAACCTCTCTGTGCTTCAGTTTTTCTCTTCTGCAAAATGGGAGTGCAATGTGAGGTTTTTATAACATAAGATTATTCTGAGGATGAAATAAGTTTATGTGCTCATTCATTTCATGATCTCTTGGGCTCCTGCTGTCTTTCTGAACCAGCGATAAATGAAGCAAGGAATCCTTGCCCTATATCCTTCCCTGGTGCAGGCAGATACGGTCTCTGCTGTGCCACACAGCCTTGCAAGGGGCCAGGCTCACCCCTTCCAGCCCTCACACTAGTCATCTGGGCCTCTTCAAGCACTTCCTGCCCCAACCTTTGTCCTAGACCTGAGGGCAAAGAGTTTATCCTCGACTCTCTCCAGACCAGAGCCAGTATCTCCTTGCTGCTTGGCTTCTCCTTTGTGGAAAAGAGAATGAGATTCCTGCTTTCTGTTTTCCAGAGCTAAGAAGACCAAGGGAGGAAGTCCCTGGCTTGATGGGTGAGGTTGTGGGCATGACTGCAAGGCTAAGAAGGCTTTTCAAACCTGTGTCATTTCTTTTAAATGTGTGGTTGGGATCTCTTTGGGGAAGCCCATTCACTGGCTCTCTGGAACACAGGATCCAGGAAGGCCTCAAGACTCCAACCAATTCCCTCTTCTGGCCTTTGGCTTCATGCTGAGTCCTATAGACACAGACAAGTTTAGGTGTTACCAACCTCTTGTTCCGGAATAAAAGAAAACCCACTCACTTGTTGGGAGACCTTGGGTAAGACATTTAACTGGTGCATCTTTGTGAAAGTGAAGGAAGTGATGACACAATGAGTCTCACAAAGTCATTGTAAGAACCCAAAAGAATATAATCAAAGGGTTCCTTAGCAGAAGGCGGCCCTGGCAAGTGCTTGATTAGACAATTACGATTAAATTTCACCTAACTAGTGAAAAAAAAGTCTGCCTTGAGCATTAATGCCCTTTTAAGAACTATCTATATGGGATCACATTGACGCAGTAACTGGAGATGAGACGGGAGCCTGAGGGAGCAGTGAGTTTGTATTAACGTGAGAAGAACCACTCAGCAAAGCAGGGAGAAATCATTGCACAGCTCAAAGAATGCCTCTGAACTGGACCTGCAGGAGTTGTTGGGTTGACTGTTTACGTTTGCAACCATAAGAGAATAAAAGTAATTGTTAATTAGCACTAATTATTATTAGTATATATTTTATATTTCATAAAGCGTATAGTTATATATCAATGTGTAATATAAACAAGTGATATAAATTTACTTATGAAGATAATGAATTCCTATTGATAGTAACTATGGTTATTAATAGTAGTGATTGTTATTCATAAATAAAAAGGAAAGATAGTTATTACTAATAACAAAATGCTGAGAGGCGTTTCTTACTATTCTGAAGGTGGTGGCACTTGAGTCTATACCGGGAAACAACGGGACTCTGGATCCCACTTGTGAAGCTAGTTTTTTTGAAGCAACTGAGATCCTGTTTGCCTGGCTTGCTAAGCCAGCCCTCCATGTTCAGCTGTGGTCTTGCTCTAGACTAACAGAAGAATGCACTGCAGGATTACCTGGTTCTGGAATAGTGGAGGCCAGGTTGAGCAGAATTCTCGGGTGTGGATCATGCGTGAATATGGAACTGTCTCTTATTTCTGTCTCAGCAATCTCTGAAGACTGAGGGGGCATCCCATGATAATGGGGTTTAACGAGACTGTCCTGTGCCTAAAAGGAAGATGGGAAAGACCCTGTCCCATCCCAGGTCTCTGCAGCCCTTGGACAGTGCTGTGTCTCCTCTGGGACAGCAGGAGCTCCAAAAACAAACAGTGGTCAGTCGGATCTGTTGATGGCTATGTTGAAGGAGATTAGGCTGAGGCCCATGGCTGCTGGCTGCTCCGAGGAAGCCTCTGCCCCACTGTGCAGAGACCTTGCCCATCTCATAGCCCCAAGAAGTGTCTCCAGCCAGCTCATCTCTCTTCTGTGAAACCAGGCATCCTGTCCCATTTGCACTCAGAGAGAGAGGAGCTTTTTGTTGGAGAAGAGAGTATGGTCTTCAGCGAGAGAGGACCAAGTTTAAGTAACTGGATGTGAGAGGAAGAACATGGAGTCAGATGAAGAAATCATTAAGGGATAGGAAAGAGAATCAGTGAGCATATTTTAAGTCTTTCATGTTTGTCTCTTGATAACTTGGAGCTCCTGCAGTGATTTTTAGATATCTGAAGTTCTGCTGTTTCTCCGAGACCTCTCCCTTCCATCAGTAACATTGACATCAAAGATGATGTCACCTTCAAGGGCCTTGTAAGAAGGCTTTCATGTATCTTACCTTGCTTGTCTCTTTCAATCAAGTCTAACAACTAATCTCCCAGAATTTAATCCACTTTAAATATGAGGAAACGAAGGTCAGAGAGACGGAT